TTTAATTTCCCACAGCGTTTGACTAGATATATTAAAAACACTCCATAGATCTGTTTTCTGATCTCTATGAGCATATAATTTAAGACATAACAGTTGTTATTATTCTTAATTTTCAGAACTGAAATGTCATTGCTTTGTATGACAGATTGAGAAACAAACTAATCATAAAAGGGCCATAAAAGCTAATAACTAAAGGAAGTAAGTATACTAAAATAAATCAATGTAAAATTGTAAATGATAAGAAATTTCAGTTGTTTGTTATGATTTATTTTATTGAGTCGGAAAATCTATTAACCTTTTGACACAAGAAGATGGAATTCACTAATTGAGTTAGAGGAGCTCTACCTTCACTGTCATGCAGATTGATAATATTTACAATTTAAACATCACCCTCTTTCAAAGTCATGCCAACATTTTGATAAGTTATCGAAACGCAATGACAAAACACCATCTACTGCTAATATTCACAGGGGTATGTGACAATTTTCATGAAGAGTTGATGAATGTGGCACCTAAACCAATGCATGGAGCCTTTCCTTTCAACTTTTGTGTCTGTGTGCCAACAGATCTGCCTATCTCTCTACTGTTCTGAAGAAGACGCTCCATTGTTGACTGCTAAACCTACCATATTGCTCTGTCTAGTAGGCAACTTTGCAAGGATCAATGACTATGAGTCTGATTCTTTAAAGTGCTTTTTCTTCTCATAGACCAATTTTAGGAGCTGTTCAATCTGTCCATCAACAGACATTTGGAAACGGGCCAGTCTCTGGTTAATACTATGATGCTCAGCCCTGCTTCTCTCACACTGGGGAATACATATTCTCACTTGCGTGTATGGCTGTGAGTCAGGGAGAATACAAAGCCATATAGTCTAAAAAGGGGCACATTTTTCTGCTATAATGTACTCAATGGTAGATAAGTTATAAGAGTTTTATATTAAAATAATATATAAATAATGTTATGGAATAGAGTGGACAGGAGTTTTGCATCAATTTTTAGAGCAATTTAATGTAAGACACCAAAGAAATTATATGTGGCTGGAAATTGGTTTTGACCTTGTCTTCAGAGACTTGTGGTAACATATTTGGTCTGTGCCCTGGGATATTTTGGTGGAAAATTCTGAGAAGCAGCAATATAGTGGAAAGAGCATGGCTTTTTTGTTTATCAATTTGTTACAGATCATGTGCATTCTCTGGTGGAGGAAATGACCATGCTGCTCCCTTCTCCTTCATTGTCCTCTCAGAATTTTGGGTAGGTGCACACATATGCGCAGCATGTTTTTCAAGCTACTAGGTCCTAGACTTGAACTGCACAGTTGGTCATGTGGGATCCAGCCACCTTAACAGCATGCTACCTGGCTGGCCTGGCACAGACTTTGGAAACAGAAACAATTGAATTTAGATCCTTGCTCCTCTACATTTCCTGAGAGCCTGACTTTGAACAAGTCAAGTTTGAACTCAAGCCTCCACGTCCCTATCAAAGTATAAAGTTACTTAATATAAAGATTTGTAACACATGCTGCATAGGTGCTGATGGAGCCAGAGTGAGCTTTTATAAACCATGTCATATTGAGTCATGCTCCTGCTTAAAACCTTTCAATACTATGCCTTTTCACTATTTTTTTTAAGAGAGATTTTCTGCTATAGGATGTGTGCACTCACCAGAGAGACAGAAAGCAAGAAATCATCCTCCAGCAGGATGGCCATGCTACAATCCCTTCTCCTCTAGTCTCCTCTTGGGATTTTGGGCATGCACACATACATGCCCCCAGCATGAGTTTGAAGCTACCAGGTCCAGGACTCAAACCACAGTCAACTATGTAGGAGTCCAGTGACATAACCATTATGCCATGTGCTGGTCCCAATACTATACCTTTTTAATAAAGCCCTACATGGCTCTATTAATGGCTCTAAATCCCTTAGTACATGGAACTCCTTTGACAGTCTGGCAAAACGCATGGGGTTCTTCTCAGGACAATGGAAATCAGTGAAAAAGAAGTCAGATGGGAGTGCAGCAGACTGACATGGGAAAGGTGCTGAGTTTCCATCCCAGGACCTCCCTGAGCATGTAGGTGCCCATCATCCAGGATGGCTTGAATTAGGGGTGAAGGGTTGGATCGTGGTGTGAAGACCCTATTTAGGGTGCCTCTCTCTCATGGAAGAAATAAACTTTAAAAGGGGGTCAAAAAGCGAGTCTAGGGGCCAGCAGGTGGCATAGTGGTTGGGGCGCTGGACTCTCATGTAGCTGACCATGGTTCAGGTCCCAGCTTAAAACTCATGCCAGTTGTGTGTGTGGGTGTCCAAAATTCCAAGAGGAAAATGGAGAAGGAATTGTGGCATGGCCATCCCCCATGGGGGGTGATTTCCTGCTCTCTGTCTCTCTCTCTCCAGTGAGTACATGCACCCTGTATCAAAAATCTCTCTCAAAGAGAAAGAAAAAAGAAAGAAGTCTAAAATAAATAAAAATAATAAAATCTACACAATTACAAAGGAAACTACTCATATTAAAGTATTAATAAAAAAACAAATTGGTGTTATAAGCAATATATGTACTTTGCTATCAACATACCACATAATACAATAGAGTGGCAGATTCTATAACTACAGTAACTTTGAAGTAGTGAGATACAAACACTTCAGGATATCTGTAACAAATGTAATTTGATATGAAAGTGTCTATAACCTCCAGTTGTGAAAATCACAGGTACTGTTGTGACTTTGTCTACATTCATAACTGAAGAAAATGCTAAATTTCATTTAGATATTAGTGATGACAAACATTTTTTATATGATAATATAAAAATTTATTTGTTCCCATACAAGTTCAGAGACCTCTACAGTTTTTTTGTTTTTATTTTTAAAGAGGTTTTTGCCTTAGGGTTCGTGCGCTCACCAGAGAGAGAGAAAGAAAGACAGTGAGAGGAAAATTGAGGAATCACCCTCCAGGGAAGATGGACACATCACAATCTCTCCATTTTCCTCCCTTGATCTTGGGCACACACACATACGTGCCTGGCGTGTGTGTCATTTTTGAGCCACTGGGTCTGGGACTTGAACCATGGTTGGCCATGTGGTAGTCCAGCCACATAACTACTACACTATCTGCTGGCCCCAGACCCCTAAATTCTGCCCATGAATCTTGGATGGTAAAGGACCCAGGTAAAGAGCCAATATTCAAAAAGAGTACTCTTGCCCTTATCTTCCATCACCATCCCCTCTGCCTGGCACGCTTTGGCCACACCAACTACTTGCTCTTCAAACACATTCAACTAAGTTCATCTTAGGCATCTGCTTTCCCCCCCTACATGCTGAATTCTCTGCCCTTGTTTTTTTGTGTGGTTGATTTTTCCTTGACTTTAACTCAACTCCAATATCAACTTCTCTAAGACGGTTTCCTTTCCTACCCCGTGCTTTTTCCCTCCATCACAACACCCTGCTGTGCTTCCCACATAATAGCTGTCACTGTCTGAAATGACTGTTTATTTATTTATTTTTAATTTTTAAAAAACTATTTTAATTTTGTTTGTTTGCTTATTTATTTATTTATTTATTTATTTTAATCTGACCAGAGAGGGCCAGGGCGAGAGAGAGAAAGTGAGAAAGAAAGCAAGCTGCCAGGTCCAGGACTCAAACCATGGTCGGCCATGTGGGAGTCCAATGCCCTTAACCACTAAGCCACCTGCTGGCCCCGACTGTGTTTATTTTTATGTTTTTGTTATTATTCTCTGCTTCTTTGCTCCTAAATGGGAGGGAGCTCCACTGGTGCAGGAAGCATGTTCAGCACCATATCCACAGTATCTGGAACAGTATTGGGATCCTTTGTAGCCTTGCTAAGGAAAAGGAAAAATAATGAGAACTCCTACCTTGTATTTTTGCTGCCCTCAACTGGTTTCCAGTGCAATCGAGGTTGGAGACTGACCCTGCAGAAGGTGACATGGTACTGACCTGGTCCTGCCCAGCCAGGCTCTCCCACTTGGCCATAACAAAGGCAAATCACTCGTAGGGCCTCAGTCCGAGGTGACATGGTACTGACCTGGTCCTGCCCAGGCTCTCCCACTTGGCCATAATAAAGGCAAATCACTCGTAGGGCCTCAGTCCCAATGGTGCCAGATGAAGGGGTTAAACAAATTTATCACCAAGTTCTATAGCTTATGATCATTAAAACCTAACAATATATTGGGCCGGCAGGTGGCATAGTGGTTAAGACACTGGACTGCCACATGGCCAACCATAGTTCAAGCCCCAGACCTGCTGGCTTGAAATTCACACTGGGTGCATGTGTGTTTGTGGTCAAATTCTCAGGAAGAGAATGGAAGAGAAGGAATTGCGGTGTGGCCATCCCCATGGATTCCCTCTCACTGTCTCTCTGTGTGTCTCTCTTTGGTGAGCACATGCGCCCAATAGCATAAACCTCAAAAACACAAAAAGCTAACAGTACGAGGCAGCCAATGTGGCAAGTGAAGGGCTCTGACCCTAAGTGGAGGAAGGGAATAGTTTTCACTCATGAACTCCATGGGGTTGAAAGAAATTTTAAAGGCTCTTACTTAGCATGACCACCTGGCAAACACTGGATATTTCTATGTGAGGTCATCTCTGGATGAGTAATATAAAGCCTAGCTATTGGATACAACCTAGCATGATATTAGAGTATGAACTCTAGACTGGCAATTCCTGGGCTCAAATTTCAGCCTACTAGTTACATAGCTTAGCCAAATTATTTCCGTTTCTCAACTTCCACCTCTGTAAAATGGAAATAACAGTACCCATTTCAAGGGGTTATGGTCAAGATTACATAAGAAAATGGAAATATTATGCTTAACAAACATTCAATAGATGCTACATATTCTTTCTGCTAATTATAACAGTTTACTAGTATGACAAACTTACTAAGTAGCCCCCAAAGCATATTTCCCTTCTCCCATTGTAACTGAATTTTTAGCAGCTAGGGATTGCATTATCAAGCTCGCAGTTTCTGCAAGCCAACACATAACTTGATCTTACCTTTTCCTTGATGTTCACATGGGTATTGAGTTCAGCCATTTTGCTGCTAGTGGAATAAACCCTATAAAAAAGGGGGAGAGGATTAAAGTTTTAAAATTGACTTCTCAATGTGTTATTTTTATGCACTCTTCCAACATAGCAAACAATTTCATTCAGTCATAATCATAAATACCACTTCAGTGTGTAAAAATACTTTCAAGCTAAGCATCTGACTCAGATATGTTCTAAAAGCATGTTGTGATAACTCTGGAAGACAATGTAAAATCTTTTATTCATACTGTATTGACATGAAAACTGACAAAGACAGATGGGAATGCACCCAAACTGTTTCTTCTTATTATGTAAAAGAAAGGTGGTCAAAAACAGAGGAAGGAAAATGTACCTATTTTAGCCAAGCATTGTTTCACAATCCTCTCTGTCGCAAAGCTTGTATCAGCCCCTAGGTAATGTAACAGACATCTATTGGGTATCTCCTGCATGTATGTAAGTATACCAGGCACTACAGAGGGAAACGGGAAAAATGGTTTCTGGTTTTGACATAAGAAACATTTATCTTTTTTTCTTTTTCCCTATCTGGCATTGTCTGACTTCAGATCTTTACACAGTTATTTCTTGTTGTCTATCTCAGCCCCAGTGTCATCTCCTCCAAGAGGCCTTCTTCTGACCACTCTAATGTTACCCCCTGCCCTGCCTCACTCTCCATCAGTACATAACAAATTCTAAAAAGAATAATGAATTTCATTAATTTATTATTATTTTAAAATTTGACTAGAAAGAGTCAAAGAGAGTGAAAAAGAGAGAGAGAAAGAAAGCAGCTGCCAGGTCTGGAACTTGAACCACAGTCCGCCGTGCGGGAGTCCAGCACCTTAATGCACCATGCTATCTGCTAGCCCCACTACATAACAATATTTAAACTTACTTTTCCCTTACTAACATATAAGAATAACCTTCCAGATCAATACATATATGCATTCATCATAATTTTTAGTGACCATAAATACATGATCTACTTTGAAATGAATTCATATCTTTCATAATTAATCCTATATCTTTGTTTTCCTAAACTCTTCAAGTTTTCTGCTTTTGGCGTCCAATCTTCTTTGTGAAGGGGCCCTCTCTGAGAAGATCCGTGTTTCTGACATCAAGCCATAGTGTTTTCTTTTCCCTCATCTGGTCAAAATCTTTCATTGTTATTATGAAAGTTAGATCTTAAGTCTTTAATAGTTTCAATCTTTTTGAAATAAGAGAATAAATGACTTAAATGCATGAAAAGATCGGTCCAGAAATTAGCAGCTGGGTCAGGCCAAGACATCTATATATACAACCTATTTGCATGTTTGTCAATCAAGAACCACTGTAAGACTGTCCTATATTCTTTGGACTTACAGTGTCCTCACCTCTAGAGATGATAGATATCAGGGATAACTTGCAAAGATTCTTTGATTTTCCCCCACTATTTTCTTTTAAACCTAGGTCTTAAATAAAGCATACATTTAGATTCACTACCTTTTGCTAATTTTAGGATGAAAGTTTGATAATATGCATCATTAACTGTATTACCAAACTATTTTCAAATGGGAATCCACATAGGCATATTATCAAATATTAAGAACAGTACGATATTATTTTAGAAGTTTCTAAATGATACTGCCACTGACACATGCATTTGGGCACCCTAGCAGAAAAGACCCTGCATCCTCGCTCCCAGTAAGGCAGCCTTTCTCATACGGTCTGCAAAGACTGTCCACTCCGTTTGAAACAGCTCCCACGCCTTCCAAATGGTCAGTTCTGTATTCTTGAACTATATACTTGGCACATAGGAGACAGTAAATAATACGAACTGGCAAATAATACCTGAATCTTATTCACACTTCTTCGAGCTCCTGAAAGTTACCAGTAAAAGACAGAATTTTTTTTTTTGGAGAGGTTTTTGCCCTAGGGCACTTGCACTCGCCGGACAGAGAGAGACAGAGAGACAGAAAGCAAGAAATCATCCCCAAGGGGGATGGCCACGCTGCAATCCCTTCTCCTCCATTCTCCTCTTGGGATCTTGGGCATGCACGCACAGGCGCCCGGCCTGAGTTTTAAGCCACCGGGTCTGGGACGCGAACTGTGGTCGACTATATAGGAATCCAGCGACATAGCCATTACAGTAACTGCTGGTCCCCAAGACAGAATTCTTTTCTGATTATCTCAAACAATGAACAGTCACAGGGTATGAGGTAAAAGAACAAATAACGAAGTGTTTTTATTTGTAAGCCAAGGATGAAAAGTAAAGCCTTTGACAAAAAAATTAAAAAATAAAAGTGTTGGATCCTTTCAAGGAGAAACCATTTATATTTATTTTAAAAATAAAAATCAAACAAAATGATTAAGTTAATGCCCCCCCCCCAAAAAAAAAGTGAAGCCTTTGGTCAGCCACTGCAGTGTCATGATATCTGAAGACTTTCTGCATAGCTGATGTGCACATTCAAATAAAACTATAATATGTGAATATATATTATATATACATGGATTTTCTAGTGTGTGACGGTAGTGTGTGTGTGTACAAAAGTGGAATTGGAGGAGAGGAACATTTATGAAACTGTGAAGAACTGAATAGTGACAGATGGAGTTGGGGCCATTTGTTAAGACAGACCTGTGAGCCACAATGCCTGTCATTAGGCTAGATGAGCTGAATCCTCTAGACTAGATAAGCTGAAGGGAGATGTTTAACGTTGCCATTACAGATGTGTGAAATCTGACAGAAAATTTTTTTTGTTTTTGCATCTAGGCTTTGAAGCCTAAGATTTAGGTGTGCAGCATTTTCTTCCTTTCCTTTAATACCAAAGGGTGCAGAGTGGAGGGGAGAGAAAGCATTTCCCAAAGGGCCCTGGTCATGCCACAATCCCCTTTCTTCCATTCCTTCCTCCCATCAGGACCCTGGACATGTGCATGCAATGTGCCAGGCACGTTTTTCAAGCTGCCCAGTGCCAGAATTCACACTGTGGCCAACCATGTGGAATCCGGCTCCCCATACCCAGCGCTTACCCCCTGTGCTTAGGGGCCAGACCAGCGTGCAGCACTGTCTAAGGCTGGAAGTGTTATAATCCACGGAGGACTCAGGGAGGAATTCCACTGAGGACAGAACATTCCTGCAATCTGAGGAAGTAGTAGCAGCAGATCATGAGCTATATTCATAAGACAAAATACACAATGCACACATACCTCGGTAATTCCCTTCCTTTTTCACCTCAACGTCTAACTCAAGGAAGACTCTGGTACTGATGCCAGAAAGATTCATCACAATGTTTTGTTTGTTTGTTTTTGTTTTGTTTTTTGTAGCAGGAAAATGTGGACTTTTGCTTGTTTGTTTTCCACGTGGAAGGCTGTCTCTACAGGCTGTGCCTTCCAGGTGTACCCCAAACCCTCTCCGCATCTGCTGTCTGGTGTGTTAACAGAGAGATTGAGAAATTGGCCACAACTCCAGCTGTGGAAACTAGTTGAAGGGTTTTAATCTAATCAGATAATAAATTTGGCTTCCCTTAAAGAAGGAAGGGTTTAAGTGTCTAGTCAAGTGGGTTTTACTGATAAGGTCTAGCCCTGGGAAATTGGGAGGGGTAAACTGATCATCAGTGTGCCCTACAGGCCTCTGTCTGTGTCCAAACCTCCAGCGGGCACTAGTCCCTCTGGAAGGTGACAGAGAACGCTGTACCTACCTGCCCACCTGCCTGCCTGCCATCATGCGTTTGCTACATGTCTGGAGCGGACTCCCTCTTCCCCAGGAAAACGAAGCTATGAAGCTGTGTGTTGTCCCTATTCTGGGATTTTGTTTTCTGCTATGAACTGTATCTTGCCAGTCAGCTCAACTTAATTAGTATCTTTTTTTTTTTTTTTTAAGGTTTTCACCACAGGGTGCATGTACTTGCGGGGTGGGGGTGAGAGAGAGATGGTGAGAAGGAAAGTGAGCAGTCACCCCTCAGGAGGAATGGCCATGCCACAATCCAGTCTCCTCTGAGGAGTTTGGGCACACATGCACACACACCCAGAGTGATTTTCAAGTCTCCAGGTCAAGGACTCAAACTTGTGGGAGTCCAGCGCCTTAACCACTCTGCCACTTCCTGCTGGCCCTTAATCTGAATCTTAATTTTCCAACTTAGTGAAAAAACTTTTCCTCCAGGAAACATACTCTGTTCTCCTCCCATGTGCCAGGCCCAGGGTTCAGCAATGTGAAACCCCAGCCTTCTGAGCTGCAGACATCTAGGTTAGCCTGAGAAGCCTCTAATGAATGTGGGAACTTCTAGGTCCTACACCAAGTGATAGCTATTTGGGGACAACAGGCCTTTCTATTCCTTCACACTGTGCCTGGTCTTCACACTTGGGGGGATCATGGCTGGGCATGACTGATGCACACACCTTAACAAGCGCTGATCACAAGAGCTTTATGTCTAAAGGCTAGGTACAGAGATCTCTGACTTTCTGGGAAAGAACCTGGTTTCTAATTCCTATTATCAACTAAGACTCTTCTTGATGCACTGAGAGGTGGCACAGTGGTGGTGTAGTGAGACCTGCATGGGAGAATTCCAGGGTCACATCCTGAGACCTCCTGCTACAAGCCGGGTGGCAGAGACTGGGGTGCAGCAACACTGTTGAGGGTGCCTGTCTCTCTACCTATCTCCTGGGAGAAATGAATGAACAAACTTATAAAAAAAAAGTTGTTAAAACAGATGAATTATTGAGGCCTAACTATTCAAATCTATGGATACATGGTTCCATGCATATAAATTCATCAATATAAAATTAAGTTAGCCAGAAATATAACTCCTGATGTTGATGTAATATTTCAGTCACTTAAGTATTACTTTACACATTTTTTCTTAAAATTGTAATTTAGACTTTAGTAATAGCAACACAAACATACATGGATTTCATCTACTTTTTATATACATCCTAGAGAAAAATAAAAATCAAGGAAATTGCTAAAAGTTATTAGAGAAGACATCAATCACAAAGAAAAGGGTTTCACCAGTTTAATAGATCATCTATATGCTTCTCCATTGTACAATTAATAAGCCACAAATA